TAGGAGCTGTGACTCTGATCCAAAACTCTGTGTCCTCTGATGTGTGCATAAAGATAAATTACCAATAAGAATAACCCCATTCATTTCAAGAGAGGGACTCCATCGATACACTCGTTTGTTTACATTCACAAATTAGAACCCATCATTATAGATGCCAGCAAAGCTTTCAATTTCTGGGTTCATCTTAGAGCTTGAGGGGCTCATAATTCGAGCGTCAAAGGATTTACAAGCCACCGAGTTATTCTCTGGCTCAGATTAAAATCCAAGCCAGGGACTAAATATTGGTTTCCTGCCCCACCTGCCTACACTGCGAACCCAGCTCCACCTGGTACGCAGGCTGAGACCCTACCTGCCTGCAGACTGTCTCGCCAGAGTGGTGAATGCTCTGGTTATCTCCCGCTTGGACTACTGCAATGCGCTCTACGTGGGGCTACCTTTGAAGGTGACCCGGAAACTACAACTAATCTAGAATGCAGCAGCTAGACTGGTGACTGGGGGCGGCCGCCGAGACCACATAACAGCAGTCTTGAAAGACCTACATTGGCTCCCAGTACGTTTCTGAGCACAATTCAAAGTGTTGGTGTTGACTTTTAAAGCCCTAAACGGCCTCGGCCCAGTATACCCGAAGGAGCGTCTCCAACCCCATTCTTCTGCCCAAACTCTGAGGTCCAGCGCCGAGAGCCTTCTGGCAGTTCCCTCATTGCGAGAAGCAAAGCTACATGGAACCAGGCAGAGGGCCTTCTTGGTAGTGGCGCCTGCCCTGTGGAACGCCCTCCCATCAGATGTCAAAGAGATAAACAACTACCTGAAATTCAGAAGACATCTTAAGGCAGCCCTGTTCAGAGAAGTTTTTAATGTGTGACATCTTAGTGTATTTTTGGTCTTTGTGGAAGCTGCCCAGAGTGGCTGGGGAAACCCAGCCAGATGGGCGGGGTACAAATAATAAATTATTATTATTATTATTATTATTATTATTATTATTATTATTATTATTACATTTCCCCATCTAAAGTCTTATTAGGCAGCACCTTCTGTGCAGTGCAGCATGAGAAGAGAGGGAAAGGGTGGTCTGCCCTTTCTCCCTCCTTCTTCTCTAGTGTCATGGAACATAGCTAGGACATCTAGAGGTAGGAAGGAAGGGGCAAGCCTTCCTCCTTCCTTCTTCTTGTACAGAACCAGTGTGCCTCCTGTCGGCCAACAAGTATTTAAGGGGAAAGGTGCTGGGAATTAAGGAGGCTGATGAGAAACGTATTTGAGGAATCAAGGAGAGCTGGCAGGAGGGGAGAGCCAATTCCAAACATGCAATTGGTTTGGATCATAAACTGCATTATTTACGATTTTTCTGTTTCTCTCTTTGTTAATAATTACTTTGCACATTTCCAAGCTGACAGGAGCAGGGGCAAGTTTGCATATCTGTACCCTCTGTTGAAGTGAACGGTGGCAAACTCAGTGCTTGAGGGATGGGATACATAAGTAGCAGTCAAGTACAACATTCCTTGTTTTCCTAGAGTGGACATGCAGGGGAATGTTTGGTCTAGCCAGTCAAGAACGTCCTGTTTCCTCCTGGCTGTGACATACTTCCTTTGCATGTGACTAGAGGGGGGCGTGACCTTACTGGTCCAGGTAACAAAAGGACAAGACATGCAGCACTCTCCCTCTCTTACTTCCTCTGTCGTTGGAGCAGCTTTCTAGCTAGAGATGCTCTGTTGGCTCTCAGCCAACAGAGGACACTGGAATTATCCCCATATGGGATAGACCCACATGTATATACTTTTTAACTAAGTCTGACTTCAGGGATCCAACTGTGAACTGGATGTGAGTAAACTTCATTTCTATACTTTATACAAGATTGTGGCGTGTTTATTCTTTTAAGAGGGATATAAGGGAACTTACCAGGAACCAAATAGTGAGGGGCTTACACAAGCCTTCAACCAGTTATCCATTGTGCGTTTAAAAGGGGAATGTGAAACTCCACTAAGTAAAGGAAGTTGCTAGCGCAAGTTGGGAAGGATATTAATAAACAATATACCCTCTCCTGCATCCCTGAACATCCCCACAGTTCCCACATCAGAACTCAAGTACCTGAAAGCAAACTAGATCAGGGCACATGGATGCCTTTCTGTTTTCTCGCACAAGGAAGATGTTGGGCAAGGGTGCATATATTTCTGATTTACCCAACAGTTGATGGTGGTGGGGGATATGACGATGGTGCAGCTACCTTGAAATTGTCAGGACTTCCTTCTGCCTAGGCTAGCAGTCTGTTTGTTGACTGGCTATTCCTCTCCCAAGGTCTCAGGCAGAAGCTTCTCCCAGTTCTGCTATCTTTTGACAAAGAGTAGCTGGAAATCAAAAACTTGGGACCATCTGCACATAAAGCGCACACTCTACCACTGGGAACATGGTAAAAAAGGAACCTGCCTTATGCTGAGTTAGATTGTTGGCCATCAACATTCTCTGCATTGACTGGAAGTGGATCTCTGGGGTTTCAGAGAAGAAATCTCTCATGGCCATACCTGGAGATGCAGGGGATTGAACCTGGAAGCTTCTGGAAGCAAAGCAATACTCTATCACTGAGCCATGGCCCTTCCTTGCTGAGGTATGACTCCTCATAGCTAGAAGTGGGGATTGAGGATAGAACCAGCGGAGAAGATCCACAGATAAAAATGCACACTCAAATTTTCACAACAGCTTCATCCACCACCATTTGGATTCTGTCCAAATGAAACTTCTATTTCTTTTTTCCTGGAGTCTGTAGCTTTCCCTGATATCCTGGGCAAGGCCTTCTAAGTGTGGTGGAGGACATCAATGCCAGCTGGCACCCAGAGGCCTCTGCCAAAGCCCAACACAAGAGTTACCTACCAGAACCTGTAACTGATTCCTGCCAGCTCCTCCAGTCTCCCTGCTGAAAATCCACTTCAGTTCCACTCGAGGTGTAACACCAACACCAGGCCAAATTCCACTTTCTGCAGGATTTGTTTGCAATGCTGAGAACCGCCTGGTGGATGACTACACTGAATGACTAAGCCGCTACATGGTCATTGCAGCTGGAACAATTGGCAGGAAACTTGTCCTGCTTATGTCCCACTGAAAGGAGAACTTTATGTCCCTGAGCATGATGGGGCTTGCACAGAAGTCCCTTGACTTATAAAGACCACTATGAGCACAATATGCTGAATGGTGCTATGCTCAGTAAATAATAGTGGGTTGTATGCAATATTAGTCCTAATCAAAGTAGATCCATTGAAATTAATGAACACGGCAAGCCACATTCACACCATACATTTAAAGCACTATGATACACAGTCATGGCTTCCCCCAAAGAATTCTGGGAGCTATAGTTTGTTGAAGGTGCTGAGAGTTGTTAAAGGTAAAGGTAAAGGGACCCCTGACCATTAGGTCCAGTCATGACCGACTCTGGGGTTGGGCGCTCATCTTGCTTTATTGGCCGAGGGAGCTGGCGTTTGTCCACAGACAGCTTCTGGGTCATGTAGCCAGCATGACTAAGCCACTTCTGGTGAACCAGAGCAGCGCACGGAAATGCCATTTACCTTCCCACCAGAGCGGTACCTATTTATCTACTTGCACTTTGACGTGCTTTTGAACTGCTAGGTGGACAGGAGCTGGGACCGAGCAACGGGAGCTCACCCCATCGCAGGGATTCGAACTGCCGACCTTCTGATCGGCAAGTCCTAGGCTCTGTGGTTTAACCCACAGCGCCACCCGCGTCCCCTGAGAGTTGTTAGGAGACCCCTTTTTCCCTCACAGAGCTTCAGGTCCCAGAGTGGTTTAACAGTCAATCCCTCTTTCCCAGGGAATTCTGACCATTGAGATTTGCCTTCTAACAAATCTCAGTACTCATAACAAACTACAGCTCCCAGAATTCTTAGGGGAAGCCAAGACTATTTAAAATGGCCTGACACTATTTTTAAACGTATGGTATGAAAGCGGCCTGAGTTAGGTCTATGAATTTTAGCAGGTCTGCTCTTCACAAAACTTAAGTTGGCTACCACCCGATAATTCTGACTTTTCCTTTTAAATCCCAGTTGTGTGGGTTGGCCCAATTTCCTACCCTCTGGAGTTGTGACCCTCAGGGTTACAGCCCAGACATGCTGATCTCTGCCAGAAAGATTAGGAGGAACCTCCCTAGCTCAAAAGGAAATGAAAAGTGAGATTGTAACGAAACACTGTGGAGCTGGAAGCTTTAAAATGGGGTGTGTGGGAAGAGACCCAACATTCCCAAGAGCTGGCAATCCCACAGGCTTTGGATTGAAAGCACATTTGTTTGGGGGGGGGGGACAATTTTTGCAGACAAGGGAAGTAAGGGGTGAGGAAGGAGGAAGGCTTTAAGACATGGGTAGGCAAACTAAGGCCCAGGAGCCGGAGCCGGCCCAATGGCCTTCTAAATCCGGCCTATGGATTGTCCATGAAGCAGCGTGTTTTACATGAGTAGAATGTGTCCTTTGTTTAAAATGCATCTCTGGGTTATTTGTGGGTCATAGGAATTCATTCTTTTTTCCTCCTTCAAAATATAGTCCAGCCCCCCACAAGGTCTGAGGGACAGTGGACTGGCCTCCTGCTGAAAAAAATTGCTGACCCCTGCTTTAAGAGCACCAAATACACTCGACAGCCCCAGGGGAACCCCCATCCCCACCCTATTAAACACCTTCATTCTTGAAGCTAGTTAGTTGGTTGTTCAATCGTGGAATATATCGGATGGTGGTATGTGTGTTTTAGCCACAGTTAAGGCTCAAACCCGCCTTCCTGCCAAAGCACAAGAACGGTTCATACCACACCGCAGGCAAACTCTTGACAGAAGCCATCTGGCAAAAATAGCACGTTACATACTTTTAGCATGCTTCAGCCAAGTTAGAGGTTCCTCAAAGGATTTGAAGCATCCTTTCCTGCTGCACTGGTGCTGTCCCCCACCCCAGCCCTGCCGAGCATGTCAACTAGCAAGCAAATGTGCTAAGAAGATGAGCGTGGAGCTGGCCGGTGCTTACCTTTGGTTTTAAAAGCAAAGTTACAGTACTTGCAGACATATGGCCTGACGTCTGTGTGCGTGCGAATGTGTTTCTTCAGCATGCTGGGCTTCTTGCAGCGAATTCCACACTCCTCACATACATACTTCCCTCGTCCACGGCCTCGCACATACACATACTCTTCGTTTGATTTGTACCTATGAGCAACAGGGTGTCATGGTAACAGAAATAAAAAAGATTCCCACCTTAAAGACGTAACAAGCCTCCTTTAAAGTTAAACAAAAACCCAGTGCATATCATTCACAGCCACAGACAAAGAGAGTCTCGGCTAGCAAATTCACTACATTGTTTAGTCAAGGGAAAACGAAACTCCACGTTGTTGTTGCTGTTGTTTTGTGGGGAGGGAGCATTGAGCATCATGAGCTGCTGGCGTGATGGAGTGCTCCTTGATCTATGGCTCTTCCATTCATTTCAATGGGCGGGACAGTGAATGGAGAAATGCTGTTGTGATCAAGTCCTGGTTGCGGGCTTCCCCTATGCATTGGGCTATTTGGATGCAGTAGGGCTCTTCTTATGTTCTTAATGGAGAGAGCCAATCTTTGGGCAAATTCCTTTCTTTTTCATTTTGGAGAAAGCCAGTGTGGCGTAGCAGTTGTGCAGTGGCAACCAAAGCAGTGTGGGACTCCCATCCTCCCTGACCACTGGTCACACTGATGGGAGCTAGGATCCAACAACTTCTGGGAGGCACCGCATTGACTATCCCTGAATTGGTGTGCCTAGAATCAAAGGGACCGGGTTCAAATCCGCACTCAATCATGAAGCTCAGTTATCAAAGAAAAAACCTGCCAGTGGGAGAACCAAATGGGGCAACTCAACATCGGAGGAAGAAGAACATCAAAAGCATTCTAAATGAATGCTCAAACTGGTCTCCCTGGCAGAATGGGAACAGCATGCCCATGATTGCACACACAGGTCTACAGCACTAAACTACTGCCGTTCACTTTCCTAACCAACACCTGCCACCTCAAATTTCATTTGGCCACATGCAATATAAGAACACTTTCTACTCTAACAGCCACATCACCTTCTGAATAACGCCTAAATGTTAAAGGCATGATGATCTGACACCTGCGGCTAGAATAAGGTTACCAGATTTTTTTTTCAATGAATCTGGGGACACTTCTCAATTTCAATGGATTTTGTATGGGGACTGATTTGTAAATCCGGGGACTGTCCCTGGGAGACGAGGACGTCTGGTAACCTTAGGCTGGAAGCTCAAGCAAAACGTATCGGGGAAAGACATCACAGACCTGTAAACATAGTTAGCTTTTGGCTAAGCAGGGGTGCGGAACCTCAGGCCCAGGGACTGAACATGGCCCTCCAGGCACCTCTATCTGGCCCTTGGACAAATCAAAAAGTGTATACTCATACATGCATAGAGATAACTTGTACCTGAGTTTAGTTTAATGTGAAAATAAGGCTCCTTTGTGCGCCATATAAAGGGGAAACTCACATTTGTTACTCTGCCCACTTTTTCCTCTGACCCTGCCCACCACTGGAACGTGGCCCTCAGAAGCTTGCCTAGGAGGGAACGTGGCCCTCCAGCTGAAAAAACGGTTCCCCACTCTTGAGATACACCATGCAATTCAAGTTCCCTTGCCCAAATCTTCATTCATACAGGCACATTATATTTTGGCAGTTTTCGTGAAAGGAATGCCACAGCAGTTGATGGCTGCTGTTAGCAAAAAAAATATGCAAGCAATTGCTTCCTACCATTTTCCTGCTTTCAATGCAGAGTGAAAAACATCATTGGCCTCCTTGAATTTAAGAGATCACCACCAACTTTGGCCAACAATATCAATAGAGTTGGGCGTCTAAATACTTGAAAGAGAATATGCATCTCAAGAGTTTCTCAAACCTTTCCTTTCCTTTCCTATCCCATCCTATCCTTTAAAAAGGAGGGGCATTCCCGACAATCAAATTGAAACACTCATAATTACTAGATGAAATATACTGGCTAATAAAACCAAGTAACCTTCAAAAATCACACTGGCAGGGTGGTGGTGGGGAAGTCTCACTCTGTGCTGAGTTTTGCTTTACAAGCGATGTATTTGCAAGAGACAAGGAAACAGACGACCAGTAAATGTCAAAGATATGTCAGACATTAGGAGATAGAAGGAAAGCAGACTCTAAAGCCAATACTTTTCAATAAAGCTAGGTATAATTGCTAGGTATGAAGGCAACTCATAATTTGTGGAGGAGTTGTAAATTTATTTCAAATGGGACGTTAGTATAATAGGCGGCTACGGACAAACAAAAACCCACAGCAAATGTCAGCCAGGGCCTAAGGATATTTATTCATTCAATTGTCCCCAGTCTTTCGTCCAAGGAGCTCACAAAGCCTGTGCAAAATTCTAAGGGTAACCTTCACCCAGGCACTGCCACATTCACACCATACATTTAAAGCACCGAGGTGATACTTTAAACAGCCATGGTTTCCCTATAGAATTCTGGGAGCTGTAGTTTGTTATGGGTGCTGAGAGCTGTTAGGAAACTCCTCTTATGGACCTACATTTTCCATAGTTCTCTGCAAAGGAAGATTTGTTGTTACACCGCTCTGGGAACTGTAGTGCTGGGAGGGAAATAGGGGCCATTTCCCTCAGCTTCGGCATCACTCTGGGACCCGTTCTGGAGGCTGGGGTCAGGGGAAGCTTGGGCTTCCCCTGCCCCAGCCCCGTGCCTGGGTAGGGGGGAAAATATTTTTTCCCCTTTATTCCCCCCCCCAAAAAAAAATCTAGGTGCGTCCTATGGGCTGGTGCGTCCTATAGGGCGAAAAATACGGTATATTCCGTGGATTCTTTGTGGGGAAGCCTTGACTGCTTAAAGTAGTATAGGTAAAAGTTAAAAAAAGGTAAAGGACCCCTGGACAGTTTAGTTCCGTAAAAGGCGACTATAGGATGTGGCGCTCATCTCTCCAAAGACAGCTTTCCAGGTCATGTGGCCAGCATGACTAAACCACTTCTGGCACAACGGAACACCATGACAGAAACCAGAGCGCATGGAAATGCTGTTTACATTCCCACCGCAGCGGTACCTATTTATCTACTTGCACTGGTGTGTTTTCGAACTGCTAGGTTGGCAGGAGCTGGGATAGAGCAACAGGAGCTCAACCTGCTGCGGGGATTCGAACTGCTGACCTTCTGGGCAGCAAGCCCAAGAGGCTCAGTGGTTTAGACCACAGTGCCACCCGCATCCCTATAATAAAAGTACCTTAAATGTAAAGAGCAGATGCAGCCACATTGGCAAATAAGCTATGAAAATTGGCTACATCTCTTTTACCAATTCTCCCGCAAATCTTCCCAGACTTGCCCAACATCTCCTCAGAAAGAATCCTCCAGTCCCCTGCACTGAAGGGCCTGAAGCAAGGATGGCACACCTTTTTTCATCCTGGGGGTTGCTTTCCTTCCTAGCCAACTTGCTATGGGTCACGTGACAGTGGCTGGTTTCCACACACACTCACGCATCCCCCTCTATCCAGTCAAGCAAGAGACATTCTCAGAGTTCAAGAACCCATCTCACATCCTCCAACATTTCTCCGATACAAACATGTAGGGTTGCCAAATCTTGAAGAGCAAAAAATAGGACAGCAAGATCTGCTGCTGGGCAAAGAGGTGCACAGGCACGGCAGGGAGGGGGCAGTCCAAGCCTGAGCCGCCTAAAACCTCAGCAACCTGAGCCACAGAAACCTCCAGGGGCTTAAAGGGGTTGTCCTCCATTCCTCCTATGGGGGGGGTGTGTTTCCATGCATTCTGGTTTCCATCACAGTGTCCCGTTGTGCCAGAAGCAGTTTAGTCATGCCAGCCACATGACCCAGGAACACCCCCCCCCATAGGAGGGGGACAAACACCAGCTCCCTCGGCCTGAAAGAGAGATGAGCACCACATCTCATAGTCAAATTTGACTCGACTTAACCATCCAGGAGTCCTTTACCCAGCAGTGGAGGAAGCCGATTTGGCGCCTGGGGTGGAGCGTGCACCCTGTGCCGGGGGGGGGGGGCAGCTGCCCGCAAGGTGGGGTAAGCCGGGGCAGGACGCTCCGTGGGGCCTCCAAGGAGTCTGCCTGTCTCCTCCCATTCAGCCGGCCTACAGCTGAGGGGGAGGCGGTGGGCAGACCGTTTGGGGCAGCGCGGAGCCTGCGGGCGCCCAAACCACCATGTCACTCCCAGGAGAGACATGTGGCTCAGGCACGCTGCAGGCCCCATGGTGAGTGCCGCCTGACATTTTCTCACCCCCTCAGTGGTGACACCCAGGGTGGCCCTCCCCCACCACCCTCCTACCTCCGCCCCTGCCTTTACCTATACAGTGGTACCTTGGTTCTTGAACGGCTTAGTTGTAAAACAAATCAGCTCCCAAATGCCGCAAACCCAGAAGTAAGTGTTCCAGTTTGCGAACGTTTTTCGGAAGCCGAACGTCCAACATGAGTGCAGGAAGCTCCTGCAGCCAATCGGAAACCGCACCTTGGTATTCGAACTGTTTTGGGAGTGGTACAGACTCCCGGAATGGATTAAGTTTGAGAACCAAGGTACCACCGTATTCCTCCACAAAGGTGAACCTTTGACACTGGACAGTCTTGCTGCCATTTATTTATATTTTTACACTTATGGAATCTTTAGAATGGATTTATCCTACATGTTTGGAAGTTCTTCTTTAACCTTTGCACAGTGTGTAACTCTGGAATGTTTAATGAAAAGCAACACAGACATTAAAATAAAATAAAATGAATGAATGAGATGGCCACTGCCTACATCTCAATGAACCTGCTTCAACCATCACGCAAGGCCTCCTGCACTGCTCAGGCATTTGCCCCCTGGCAATCAATCATAGGACTCCATTTACAGCTGCCTTGTTCTTGTATTACTCGTAATTACTCTCTGACATGGACCCTTTATGAGCCATGCCTTTGTTATGCCGGGAGTCCTGTGTCAGCTCCATTAGCGCTATCAACAGACAACATCTCCTGGCATTGCCGGTTGTTTTTTTATCTGGGCCCTACTAAAAAGAGCTGTTCCTTCTCCAGCTCATTTATTCTGTGGTCAGAAAAGTGGGAAAGATGTGTGTGCGTAACTAAACAAGGATTAAAGGAAAACAACATTTTAAAAGCACACAATTAGATTTGACTACAGAAGAAAAGAAGGCGC